CCAAAAAAAATTATTTTTCGAGATTTTATATTATTATTTCATTTTAATCTGAATTTCATTTTAATCTGCCACAATTACTAAGTTGAAAGTTTAATTAATTATAAATGAAAGCTTTAATATTTCTCTTTTGATATGAGCAGTTTTTGTATAAACTACATTAACTTCAAAAACATGATCTTTTGCAATTAATTGACGGAATGGTAATATTCCACCACCAACACCGAAATAAATGGTTTTTGCTGCAATATAACTACATTTAAACAAAAGGAGATCAGGATGTATACTATATGCTTCTTAACTTGAAAAAATTTTTTTAAAAAAAAGATAATACAAAGGATACGCCACACCATTTGGATACTTCAAAGCATGTTTAATAACATTATAAAGTTTTGGAATAGAGCTAAGGTTGTAAATTGTTTCGGAAGAAAGTATGATGTCATATTTTTCCTGATTTGAATGTAAATTTAATATATCCTACAATAATGAATAAATATTAGATACGACCAAGTATATTAAATAACAAATCATAATCTTATTTACATTTAATTCATTCCAGTCTCCTTTAAAAAATCTGCTATTTTTTAATTGATTCAAACAATTGGTTTCTTCTTCAATATCTAATTCGGAAATTTCATCTGATTGTGGTCGTAATACTGTATTGATAAGTATGTTTGGTATTGTGACTAATTTTAAAACATCTTCATTATAATCTTGGAAATCAACGCAAAGAGAAGGTTGAGTAGAAAGTAGGTATATGCCTGGAAGTGCTGAACCACATCCCAACTTTTTTATATAAAACCAGTTTCAATAGGCAGTTTGAATAGATCAAAAAATTATCAAGAAATAATTCATCTGGTACAAAAATTTTGCACATCTACCTCTAGTATTTTATTACCACTAAGATTAATTTCTTTCAATTTGATTGAAAGATATTCAACCAGGTCTAATGAGCATTCCCATGTTTTTAGCCCACCTATGAAGGAAGATTATAAATATCAGTAAAAGATATTGTTTTATTCAAATCAAACTTGAATTTTTAACCACCTTCATAGACACCATGCACCACATCATTATCAACAGTCAATTCTAGAATTTTTGCAGAACTGTATGAATTCTGGTTAACTTCATTTTCTAATTCATCATTCTGTGCTATTTGAAATTTTACATCGGAAAGACATCGTTTGTAGAAAACAATAGGCTCTTTATCATTCATTATAGATGTAAAGACGCGTTCTATCATTAAACTTGATGGAAGTACAAAGGGCTAACAATTTTATAACTCTTTATTATTAACTAATATGTTGTAATTAATGTTTATTATAATAATAGAGGTTGGGATCGATTAATAGATTAATCGATTGATTTACAAAATTAATAATGAGATCTTTGCTAACAAAATGACCCTTTGAGGTTATGTTCTGAAAAGTCATTTTGTTAGTAAGCGTCCCATGTATTAAATAGTACAACATAGAGTACAAAGTAGAATATAATTAAATAATTAATCGATTAATCTATTAAAAAGTAATTAAAACCTCTATTATAAGAAAAGAAATCCCACCAGGCTCGTAATGGCTAATTCACTTGCTGGAATGTGCGAATTTTTATCCAATGGTAAATTATTGTCATTAAAATTTGAGAGTTGACCATTATTTTCCTCTACGTGTGTTTCAACAGATGGCTTTACTTCCTCAGACAAATCAAGGTCAGCTGACTGGCAAATTTCAAAATATTTTAGTGTATATTATACACATCGTATACATTATGGATACACAAATTTTAATATATAATGTCAAGTAAAAAAGCCCTTTAAAAGAATTTATGTAGTTACCGAAAATTCAAAACGAAACATTATGACTGTATCTCATTTGAGATAATGAAGGAATAACACATTTTAAATATGGATCAACTCTGGTTTATTGAATAATCCGATTGGATAAAAAAAAATTTATCGTGATTATCTTGGAGTTACAACAGCAATAGGACCGGCACATCTGTGTGATATCAGGATGATCAGTTTAGCGAATATAGGAATAAAAATATTGCCGTATCTTCATTGCGCATTAAACGAAACAATGTCCTTCTTTCTTCGCCTTTTGACTAGATCACGACATACCTTAAACAAACGTCTTCTCTCCTCGAATAATGAATTTACAAATCATGGCAAATTCGATACGCCACCAAAAGGTGAGGGGTAAGGTAAATTTAAAAGAATCGGTTGATTCGCGCATCTTTTTTACACATACCCGTTGTACTATATTGATATAAAAAAAATTCATATTTGGTAGGGTTACGATCAACTTTATTACACAAGAAGGTGATAAAAAAACAATAGTTGCTAATGAAGGAGAAAGTATTATGGATATTTCGCATACTCGTGACGAGATAGAACTTGAATGTAACTATCTTTAATGAAATTAGCTCTTTGGTCTATATTTTTTAATAATAGCTTCTTAATAGGCGCATGTGAAGGATCACTAGCGTGTTCCACGTGTCATGTGATCGTATCCCCAGAATATTATAAAAAACTGGAAGAACCAACAGACGAAGAGAATGACATGTTGGACTTAGCATTTGGATTAACCGAAACGTGAGGATTCTCGGAATATTTTATTCTTCACTATTTGTTATATAACAAACGATTTGTTTAAATAATAAATAGATCCCGCCTTGGATGTCAAATTGTTATGAGAAAAGATCTGGATGGCATAACAGTTACCATACCTTCAGCTACTAGGAATGTACAATTGAAAGGTGATGATCTGAATAATTCTATAATAGACAAAAATAAGTTCGTAAAGCTTAAATATTATAAGACTAACGGGAAAATATATCTATATTTACAATCGGTCGACTACCGACTATTCTATCTAATATAGGGTCAAAATTATCATAAAATAAACTTTTACATGTCAATAATAGTATTTATATTATTACTTTTTAAATTCATAGTGCTTTAATATTGTTTTTTAGTATATACTGGAAAAAACCGGATGTTTGAAAATTTTATTTAAGTTACACTCAAGTATAGTGAGGTGAAAGGTCCAAATCTTCAATCTCAGCTTTAACGAGATGCTTTCCGGGGATCATAACTAGGCCAACGAATCTTTTTTCATCTATAAAGTGTATAAAGATTAGTTAAAGTGCTATACTTTTTTTAAAATCAATGAATATTTTTGCCTAACTGTGACATTAGATCGTGTTTAAAAATACCGAGAAAAGCTTGAAAGAAAACTTACCAGAACGAAATTCTTCAGTTTGTGACAAAATGATATTTTTATATTTATCTATGCACATAAAAGTTCCAAGAAATACACGCCCATCGGAAGCAGTAATTTTAGCTTTTAAATTTAAATAGGAACGAAGCTGTTGAATTTTGGGTGTATCAACCATCGAAATTTGAGGTTATCTGTTATCAGTTATACGTATAAAATATGTACAATACGTACGTGCATCAAACATTAATGATTTTTATTGGCCAATGGAATATCTTGTATAAGATTTATCGTTATAGCTTTTTTATTTGTGAGAATTAAGTATACTAAAATGACATTCCACGAACGTACTACAATTTTACTTGACTGCCACCCCGATACCCAGTCTCCTTGCGTTCCTGAACTTGAAGATTCCTGTAAGTTCTACGGAAAGAAAGAGTGGTTTGAAATATAGGAAATATTTGAAATAATTTCGCTCTTTATTTAGTAGTGGTACCACCCTGTCCTTTATGGTCATGTTTCGTAGAGGCGACAATAGAATATTGTCGTGTCGTGTTCGATTTATTTGACACAAGCAATAGTACACGTCCTGTAAGTATTAAATATTATCGATTTCTATTATGATCCGTATATCCTTAACGTTTCAATTTTTTATTAGGTGTCCGTTCACATCGCAGGTGTACCGTTGGAACGTAGTATACTAAACACATGGCAAGAACAAAATTTAAAACAGGTATAAACCTTTGTTTTAACGCGTAAATTTATTATTCTTTGGTTAATTCGACTTCTTGTAATCATTAAAGATTGCCGACAATTTTACTTTTATATCACCAACCTCTGTCTCACCTTCACCTGCGCGATTAACGCACGCATTAGAAAGTTCTTTAAAAGCTTTGAATCACTCAAAATCCGACGAAAAATTTAATGCAAGATTTATATTGATTTTGATGGGAAAAGGCGATGAACAACAATTCAGGTGTTTTTCAAGTTGATATTTGATTTTGGTATGATATTTGAACATTTACGTGAATAGTAACATATATAAATTCCTGTCATATAAGGTATCAAGAAACTCGGAACCATAAAATAGTTGATATTCGGGACGTGATTTGTGGCATTTTAGCACAACATGAGAATCTTTTCAAGGATAAATTTCGGTGCGCCTTTGTCATACTAAATAGCTTTGGTTTACTTTCAATTAATTCTTTCCATTTTATTCAATTAAATAGACTTCTAAAACGTTGTCATTTTGATATTTTGCGTATTTTACCATCTTTCGAAATAATATCAGAAGATGTTCCATGGACAAAGGTAATCAGTAAAACCTCGATTCCTTTTCAATCGTAATTATAAATAATGTATTAACAAGAATTTTTGTGTAGATTCCTGTGGAAAATTTAAGCGCAGAATTTTCCGCAACAGTTTATAATATTTTACCCGGCCGGAAATGTCTTACTCGTTCAATGCTACATTTAGTTCAATTGCACCACAATTTACACACGTTGCGACTGCTGGAAGTGCCTATGAAGGTTTTTACCGTTCAATATATACACTTTGTTACTTTATATTTTCCTTTGAATTTGACAAGGTTTGACAAATACTATGCCTTATATTTTTAAAGAAAAGTGACAACACAAAGACAACATATGAAATAGAATTGCTTTATCAAGCAAATAACCACAAGCCTGGTAACATCTCCGTTACAACTGGACATGCATCAAGACCGCGATTATTTGAGACAGATTATTTTAAAGATCGGCAGACCGTTGTCAAATGGATTAAGCAAAAACTTTACAGCCTAGGTGAGCTTTGTGATAATGTTATCTGACTGTTATTACTTTCCTAATCATTTTATGAAATAAACAGAGGGAACGATTACTCGTTGTTCTCATATGGTTACGCCTATAGACGTAAGTGAAATTTCTGTATATCATGAAAAGTAATAAATTATTCTATATTAATATATATATATATATATATTTATTTATTTATTTTTATTTATTTATTTTAAAAAAAAGATATCGGTGCCAACTCGTGTACTGATCACTAGCTTAGCTAAAGGTGTGGGTTTGACTTAAATATCACAGACAAAAAGTATTAAATACTTAAATTCATATATATTATTTCGTTTAGGTGCAATTTATGCTTTAACAGATCCTTCATTATCTGCAAATAGTAATAATCAATCTACGGTTCGAAGTGAAAATTCTCCACCAATAAAGCCGCTTTTTTCACATATCCTGATATTTCGTGAAGGTAAAAGTTAGTGTGAATCCTTTACTTATTTTAATCACATAAGTGTTTTACTTTTATTATTATTATTATGCAAAGGTGCATTGTATGTTCATTGCCAACATATCAATCATGGAAAAAATGCCCATCTTCTCGATGTCATCAATTTTGAAGTCCCTTCTCAACTTGTGGTTTCGCCTAAATCAGATGTCTCTATGTATTCTCAGGTATTTATCTCTACATTAATGGCTTTGGAGTTCACTTTTTGTCTAAAATTGACTTTATTTCCTCTTCAAGTTTTTCGAACCTCTTATTATAAAACCGAATTTGGTTAACCGAAGGCCTATAAGTAAAACCATCAAGGTATCAGGACATGAAGTTAAAAGTACGCAGACTTTGGATATTGAAACAAGATGGCTTAAAACTGCGTCAAGTTCGAACAATGACATAATACTCAAATTGCAGAGTAGTTTATCTGACGGGGTGCGTTATTTGATTTATGTAAGATTACTTGTTATTAGATTATGACCAATATTTACTATTTAACGTGTAAACAGGCTACACTTGTCCATGATATACTGTCCGAATTGAAAAAACTTTTTTGTGTTGAGACACCGCCTGATGATTATGCTAAAATCGCAAACAATGTATGCATATAATAAATTTTATCTTTTTTGTTCTCTTTCATGATATTAACATTTTAAATTTGGTCTGTAATAGATACTGGATCGATTATTCGCGCTTGGAAGGGGTTCTGACTCATTTACAAAGTACTATAAATGTTTTTTTTTTTCATCGAAGATAACATTGCTAAATAAATAAATATATATATTTACATATCTTTTGTTTTTTTTTAGTCAAAAAAATGCAGTTGCACTTTTGAAGCAAATCCCTATAATTTCAGATGCCTTTCAATCCACGTCTCCAGAACACGCTGAGGTTATTATTCATTTATTATGCATATATGTATAGATGTGAATTTCGATCCTTTCATGAATAACAATACTGGTTACTATTTAAGTTGCACAGTTATTTAATTACATTTTGTAATTTTTATAGATACATGAGATCATGACTGGACGTGTAAGGCCTGACGGTACGGAGAACAAGCCGCTACCTATACCACAATCATCTGATTTACCAAACATCTCTAGCAATTTAACGATGGAAACAATATTAAATCCAAACGAGGAAACTAAAGAGACGCAAATTGCATGGAAACAATTAGATCAATACAGTTCTATGACATATAAAGAACAGCAAGAGATGGATGGACCAGAAGCTACCAATTTATCTCAACAAATGTCCATGAGAACCCGTGGGCAGCATTATCGTGTAAGAGGTGGTTTTGGAGGACGTCGTCCTCAACGTGGTTTTTCTGATTTTGGTAGATCCCAAACACTGGACGTTAATGATGATAACCGTAATAGTGGGCCTATACCATATCTACAGTATAATGTTCCAAGTGTCTTTGGAATCAAAAAGGAACAGGAAAAATATATGAGTCGGTTAGGTAAATCTAATTCGTTACTATACCAATATTGGATCGGAAAAAGGAATGCAAGGGAGTCTAAAGGGATTAAGCGTAAAGATTTTGATGGACAATTACCTCTTATTGAGCCAAGTGCTCAGGATGAAAAGCTAGAACAATGATTAATCTTTATCTGATTAAACACGTCTCTCGTGATTAATGTAATTTCAAACTCTAATATTTAACGTTAATACATAAGAATAAAATTGAGATTATCTGAATATTGAGTAACTAGTAATTTTAATTTATTATTGTCAAAATCGAAATGTTCAAACTTGTGTCCAAACTTATATCCATGACAACACTGCTGTGAGGTATGTACTACGTGCGGGTTTACTAATTTTCCTAACATAGCGATAGATACTCCGATATGTGAATAATTAGTAAAACCAACTACGTACTTTTTACCATCACGTGATGATCGACAAAATTCTGAACAAATGTTCGTTTTGTCAAACATCGCTTATAATTCAAAATCTGCATAGGAACCACCTCCTGCGCATTAACAAAAAGTTTTTTTTGAACGATTTTAGTGTTAGAACCTTCAATTCTAACACTAAAATAGCCCTAACCCTAACATAAACGAACTTAAAGAATTTTGTCGAATATCACGCGATGGTAAAACATTTGTTGGCGCTCCTGGGAAATTTTAGTAAACCCACAAATGGATGTTTGGCAATGTCGATGTCGATATCAATTTATGCCATTTACCAAATTGATTCGGGTTGTACATATGAGTCACCGTTCTTTTTGTATTGTGACTGAATATATGATGTTATGAGTCACACTATGACTCATAAAGCTGATTTTTTCGATTTATGTAGATCGTACCCCAAAATTTGGTTTAATTCTGGTCAAATTTGCAGATCATTTGGCCCTTGGCAATGAGTTTTAAAACTCATTGCCAAGGGCCAAATGATCTGCAAATTTGACCAGAATTAAACCAAATTTTGGGGTACGATCTACATAAATCGAAAAAATCAGCCCATATGGGATAGATAAAAATTTTTTAATCACCTTAAATATAATTGGACCGATATTTTGTAGATATCGATATAAATAAATATTCAACTAAAAACGCCCCTGCCATAAACAAAAAATGTTTGCTAAAAATTTTTCAGTTTATCGTTCAATTACGAAACAATCTGTTAATTCGCCCGCGAAAAAGCTGGCTGTTAAGGGCCATCGCTCGATACCATGTCCGTTGTTTGCACAGAATCGGCACTATGCTCAATCGGCGTCGCAGGATAAACTGATAATCTTTGATACATCTTTACGCGACGGCGAACAGGTAATTAGTCGAACAAACTATTAAGCAACTTATCACTAATTCCATTATGCTGACGTGCTTGAAGTTTTATTAATTGTGTTATTAAAAAAAATAAAATAAAATAAAAAAAAAACTTAGTCACCTGGTGTCACCTTTTCGTCGGACGAAAAACTAGAAATTGCACGACATCTTTCAAATCTTGGAGTTGACGTGATTGAAGCCGGTTTTCCAATTGCTTCACAGGGTGACTTTGATGCGGTTGCACGTATTGCAAAGGAGGTTGGCCCTCTTATGCATGGTCGAGAAAAGATTGGCAAACCTATGGTAAGCAATTTTGATATATTTATAATTGGGAATTCACACGATGTTAATTATTCTCGTATGATGCAACATTAGATCATTGCTGGCCTTTCACGTGCCACTCAAAAAGACATTAAACGTTGTTATGAAGCTGTATCTTTGGCGCCACTGCATCGAATTCACACTTTCCTGGCTACATCGGATATACACCTTAATTATAAACTAAAGATAGATCGTAATGAATGTATTAAACGTGCTGCTTCAGCAGTTGCATATGCAAAGAGTCTTTGTGATGATGTAGAATTCAGCTCTGAAGATTCTGGAAGAACTGATAAGGATTTCTTGTGTCAAGTCTTGGGAAAAGTTATCGAGGCTGGCGCAACTACTTTAAACATTCCAGATACAGTTGGTTACACTAGCCCTGAGGATTATGGCGCATTAATCAAATATTTAATTGAAAATACGCCTGGAAGTCATAAAGTAATTAATTATCTTTATTATTTATTATTATTATTATTATGGATTTTTTTTTTTTTTTTTTTAAATCACGTATGTGAATGTTTTTTTTTCCTTTTTTTCTTTTTACGGCTAATTTCAGGTAATCTGGTCTACACATTGTCATAATGATTTGGGTCTTGCTACAGCTAATACATTGTCTGGAATTACAAATGGTGCTAGACAGGTAGAAGTGACAATCAATGGTATTGGCGAACGTGCTGGTAATGTCACTGCAAATTATTCACGTGTTTTTATACATAGTGTGGTGTAGATAGCAGACACCAATTATCACGTGATAGCATAAACTCATCAACGGAATTTATTACACTAAGATCCAATCATAACATTAACTTTAAAATCTCTTTTAGGCAATACATCTCTTGAAGAAGTCGTAATGAATATCCATACTCATCCTTCTTCATATCCAGTGTATCACACCATCAATACCCAACTTATTTACCGTACATCCACTCTAGTATCATCTCTTTCTGGAATGGTGGTACAACCAAATAAGGCAATTGTGGGTGCCAATGCATTCCTTCATGAATCTGGCATTCATCAAGATGGTGTGCTGAAGAAAAAAGAAACTTATGAAATCATGCGTCCTGAAGACGTTGGCATCTTCAGTACTAATTTGGTGTTGGGTAAACTTTCAGGACGCAATGCTTTTCGCTCCCGCCTTGAACAACTTGGTTATTTTGATATGAATGAAGATGACTTAAATAAAGCCTTTGATCGATTTAAGGCTTTGGCAGATGCTAAAAAGCATGTCACAGATCATGATCTCTTAGCTTTGATAGCTGATCATGTTTCTTCTGGAAGTGAATCTAAATTCGATTTGCAATCAATCCAGGTTGTTTCTGGAACTCGTGAGATGGTTACTGCAACTGTCAAACTCAAGGATTCTTCTCAAGAACAAGAACTCATTGGTGCAGCCGTCGGGCGAAATGGTCCTATAATGGCTGTATTTAGTGCCATTCAACAATTGGTACAACGTAAAATTCGCTTGCTAGATTATGAAGTTCGTTCTGTTTCTGAGGGGATGGATGCTTTAGGAAAAGTTGTCGTAAAAATTACTGAGGATGTTGATTATTCAATTTCCGAAACAGATTCAAATCCGCAAGAACATATTATTGATCGTGCAGTTAAACCCATTGTCGATTCAAAAGGAGAAACAAAGTTATCAAAGAGCACATATCATGGACACGGCACAGATGTTGATATAGTAATGGCAAGTGCGAAAGCTTACGTAAATGCAATCAATAGGTTGTTTGCAAGCGAACTCAGCGGAATATCTCGGAGTTCCTTGGAAGAAAGACAAGCCAATATATAATAAACTTAAACTATCTGATCAGTTTATTTACCAAAAAAAAAAAAAAAAATTTCTATTATAACGTTTTGTAAGAAGAATTTTGTATTTTATTCAAGATTATTAAAAGTAAAATTAATGGTATAATTTTTTTTGAAAAAAATTATATAATTTCGATATTCTACATGTTGCAAGTAGGAACGGAATTTAAAAGGGGTTAATAATAGTTTCGTGTCAGGTTAGTTAGCGATATAGGTTACCGTATCGGTATATAAAATAATTTTATAATGCACGACGCTTAAAGATTACATTTGTCTATTACTAAAAATTTAATAAAGGTTTTTTTTTTTGGTGATTTCATTTTTATTTTTGAATTTTTATATTTTGATTAGTTATACAATTTTATGCGATTGAACTTTTTATTTCTTAAACTGTCTAGCTAACAAATTTGCTATGGTGCAGGACATCTAGTCGCATCATAGTGCTGAATTTCAAAATCTATATATGAATATATGAGTGTTGCTAAAAGAAAACCCGAAAATTTAAATATGACTTATATTTAAATTTTCGAGTTGTCTTTTAGCGACACTCATATAGAAGCGCTGAATTTTAAAAATTATATTTATTTATTTTTTTTTTTTTTAATCTTCAAAGGTGAGGCCTAAAAATTATATTTATAATAGTGTTGAATTTTAAAAAATTATATAGACTGAAATTTTTAAATTGTGAATAAAAAAAAAATAAAATAAATATATGGGCTAGGTGCTGAGAAAAGGACAAAAAAAAATAATCTTCGGAAAATAAATTTTTAGGATTTAATCATTTATCGCAGGTGCGTTGTAACGCACCCCATAAGATCAGGTATAACATAAAATCAAAACAATGTTTTTTTATGTGATTAGGGTTAGCGTTAGGTAAGGTTAAGGTAGATATAAAGGATGGGTTTATGGTAAAATCCTGCAAGGAATTTTTTTTGTTATGACCCAAAAGGTAGTTGCATATGCGAAATTTTGAGTTATAAGCAAAACGAACGTTTGTTTTGAATTTTCCCGATCGTGTAACGTTACACCTGATCTTATGTTTTAATTGGTTGATCAGGGGTGCGCTACAACGCACATGCGCTAAATTATATAACCCAAATTTTTATATTATAAATCTTATAATAAATATACAAGCTTTAAAGAGATAATGCAAAATTTTATTAATACAACTACTTTTGTATCTTAAGTGAAAAATGATCCTAATCTTATTCTAAATTGAAAAAATTGTCATTTTTGGCCCTTTTTTCAGCACCTAGCCCATATATATAAGTGTTAAATTTTAGTAAAATATATGTGCTGAATTTTAGTGAAATAAAGCGCTGAATTTTTTTAAATTTGATAAAAAATTAAAGGGTTTTTTAAACTAAAATAACTTTTTAATAAAATGGTTTTTTTTAAAAAGCTCTATATTTATATTCTTAAATTTCAAAGAACTTTTCAAATTACTGTGTCCGCTGATTTTCATACATCACACTGGGAATCAGAAATCTTGAAAAAATGCCAATACGTGATTGGCTAAAAATTATTTTTAACCAATCACAGATTTGTATTTATTCTAGATTTCTGATTTCCGGTGTGATGTATGAAAATCAATGGGCACAGTAATTTGAAAAGCGCGATAATATAGAAAAATTTTTTAAAATTTATTATTGTTAAAAAGTTATTAACTTTTAGAGCAAGCAATTATTTCGTGGTGACTAGATGTCTTGCACCATAGCTAAATTTTTTTAGAACTTTGCTAAATATGTTAATACAAGTATACTAAATTGAAAATTTGAAAATACTTTTTAGGGAAATATTAAAGTATTGAAAACATTTCATGGAATGAGTACTAGGGTTTAAGTAAGCTCTACAAAGGAATAGGTGATGGTAGCGATAACTCGTAATATATATGATCTTAATTATAGTATAAATTACTTATCTAAATGATATATATACTGTATATAAAGCATAGATAGTGTCTATGAAGTATGAAATCCTAATAGAATTAAAAAAACCGGTGCCTTCTTAACTATGCTTATATAATAAAAATAATTTAAAGAGATTAAATAGAATTGGTAAAAACTTAATTGACAATTCACGAATAAAGAAGAATTTGTATTAATAAAAACACATAACACTTAATAGAAATTATATATAAAATATAAAAATTAGTATTCTGAATATATAAAGTTAATTTTTTATCAACATTTTGTGTGCTTTTAATAAAAGTTGTAGAGCTAGTTTTTGATTCTAATGATGGCAATGTCGGTAAAATTGAGTAGATAGATAAAAAGTTACAAGCAATTTAAACAAAAATTTTTATAAAACTATAAGAATTATGAATATACAGTACTGTATTTTATTATGTTTTATTATAAAAATCTTCCTCTGCTAATTTTTTTCCTTATTCGTGAATTGTCAATTAAATAAATAAAAAACCTATAGATAATTTCTAGGTTGAGCCTTTAAATATATAAAAAATACTATAACTAAGTTGCATATACTGTATGTGACTATCTACCGTATTTCTGCCCTAGCTCATATTATGTACCCGGGTACTCGTGTATTTAATATGTTTTACTATTACATATGTTAAACAGCTCGGTTTAACCGGTTTTCGAATCGGTTAGAGTCAAGTTGCTTAAAGTCGACTCCAATTCGACTCCACTAATATCACATGAAATTTAGCAAGATGATTTCCAATTTATACTAAAACGTATACATTGCATTGCGTTAAACAACCTCACATGATTAAAATTCAAGTCTGAGTCTGATAACTTGCTCGACTTCTGGAGTCGAATAAGTTCGGATAGAGCATTTAACGTCCCTACATGCCCATATAGGATAACTTTCTCGTGATTGGTCGTCACATGAAATTGAATAACACGTTATTATTGGCCAATTGTGAAAC